TGATTAACATATACTGCATGAGTGCATGAACCGAATGTGGTATTCAAACGAAGTATAAGAACTATATTGTTTGTTGTTGTAAATCTTCTTTTGCAGCGAAGAATGACGACACATTGTTACAGATTATAATGAGACTGTACATATATATATGTGTGAACTGAATGCATTAACTTTACGGTTTAATAGTTGTGTTAACCTACAAAATTTCAATTATAATGTTATTCCATGATATAATACACGAATGGTTGCTAAATGTAAATTAATGTTGGAAACAACTTTGCAGCAACCATCTCATATTCAGCAAATCCATTTGCGACGGCAACACCACCACCACCCCGTCCTACGATCAATCAGATTCGACAGGATCCTTGGGCAGCGAATACAACTACTACAGCGAATCCGTTCCTCTCGTAGCTCGGCAATAGAATTGTCGAAGACGTCAGTCGATAAATCAAGAGCACCGTGGTTAAAAAAAAAAGTATTCGAGGTTTTTAGCGGTAACCCTGTACGGTATAAGTTTCTCGCTCGCTATAAAATAGCTTTATTTCAAGATATAGGCCACACATACAAACAATAGAGAGAAGATGTCCTATTGCAATAAAAAGGAAGAAGAAAAAGCATTCGGAACATTCTAGTTTTAACATTTGAAAGTAACAAGTCTTTTACAAATGATTCAAGTAACAACCACTGACCTTTCAGGTCTTAATCGATGAGAAATAGACATTACAAAGAAGTACGCTAATGGGCTCCGTTCAAAGTTTCAAAAAGAACACGACTAACATCGACGTTTATTTTTACATAGCAATTGAAACAGTGTAGCGAAAGTTTATTTTTATCGTGCTTATTGCGCAGAAGTGTTTGCATCCGCTTATGATCGAATCGCTTGTATTTTATCGCGTAACGACGATGAATAGGGAACTGCATCGAAATCGAGAAAACGATGCGTGAAAAATGGGACAATTGATGAAAAGGTGTAAATTAAATCTTCGAACGCTTACCGCGCTCCCAAGGTATAACTCTAGATTTTATAAGCACCTTTTTCATATATAGTATATTTTTTAAGTATGACTCGATTTGGTAATAGGATAAAATCATTGAACGATATTTTTGGCGGACTATAGACTTGAAAGCGGAGGGATGGATGGATGGTCGGCGCGTCAAATCAGTTTCTTTGTCCTTGTATTTATATACGTCTTTTTCTACGGTTAACGAGATCGTGAGACTGTAATCGTGATTTGCAAAAGTATATTATATCGAACAGGGTTCTTCGATTTAAGTTATACGCTTAATGTGATGTGTATCAATCGCAGTTCATAACAAAAGGGAAAAAAAACGATACGTATTCGTGTTGTAGCACGCTTTTTCAATTGAAGGGATCAGTGACGATGTGACTAAGAGGTGGAAACATATTTTCCTTCTCGTAAACTCTTGTGTGAACCAAGGTAAAAAAAAAACACCTTTGTTTTGTAATTTGTTCGGAGACACTGTTGTCTTACACTCCACTGAAGTACACTTTCGTGAATTGTAAGTCATGTACTCTACACAATGAAACAATTGTTCACAGAAATAACGAACATGTACAGTATATTCTACAATTTTCTAATTGTGGGAATCAAAATACTTATGAAAATATACGGGTCAATGTAAGTCGCTATTAAAGATGGAAAGTCATTTTGTTATACAAAATGGCCTTGTAAATGAAGTAACTAACTGTTAATCATTCTGCTATAATTAATAAAATATCAGAACACAGAAATGGTAGATAAATCACTGAAGAATCATTTTATTGAATCGTTTTCTGTTGAAAAAAGATGATTCAATAGAATTACTCTGTAATAGGGTATAAATGAATTACTTTTAAAACTATATTAACGAGGATTCGTGTGAAATAACATAAGTATATTACGGATGTTTATGCAAGTACAAATTTTAAACTTTCTTAAATGCATGAAATTCACAAGCTAGTGATAACACGCTACTATGCATCCATTAATGGTATCACGGGTGTGAGCGTTTGATTACGTGAGTTTGCGAGAAGGCGACGGAAATGTGTTTCTACCTGAATACTCATCTTGCTGAGAAAGCCGCCGCGCATATTAGTAAAACGATGTCTTTCGCTTATTATTCGTTGCGTTTGTCAATACCTCGAAGTACTTGCAGATGAAACAGTCTGAAGCAGCAGTTCACTGCAAAAGCAACATCGTCTTTTAACGCCACGAAGACATACGCATATGTACGGTTCGAATTTAATTTCTGAAAATTTAATACATTTCATTCCAGCGACTGTTCAACGGTAATTACATAGGCTTCGTGCACCGTGGAGAACCAAGCGTAGAAGACAGATACATAATGCATTTTCCTGTCGGTGAGAAGTCGCTGTTATTAAAATCGAAGCATTTTATTGTTTCACGAAAACTCACGTCGATACTGAGATAGGTTATGTTGGTTATTATGGAAAAATTGAAAATTCGAAGAATTTTCGTTGAATGGTTATATCCATACAAATATGAGGCGTTTTTTACTCGTTCAATAGTCAGGTTGACCTGTTAACCGAGAGATTTTTCATTCATACGCATACATATACGATTCGAAAGAATCAGTTAGCCGATTGCGGATTCTATGCAATTTATAACATTCATGATCGTCTATAATCCAATAAAATAATGTATCGAATGAAAGATAATAGGGTTTCCATTTTGTTTGGAATTCGAATGAGCCCTGAACACAGCAAAAATATTTCACTTTCCTTCCAATTTCGATGAATTGGTCCGTAAATGTCTATATTTGCATAAACATCCGTAATCCAATCGTTAGGGAAACAAATGAAACATTGGAAAGAATCACAGGTTGATATCGACGACGAGTTAACTCGTCTTCCCCGGTTAACAGGTTAAGGTACCAACCATAATTTGAGGACAGTAAAATGAATCGGAGTAGCTTTCGTTTCATACGAAGCAATTTACAATTGTACCTTGATTTATATAATGAAAACTGAAAAAATTGTAAATACGTTAACAGCATATCGTTCCCCAATTGTCAAGTCTCTTTTCTTGTCTGTATTTGATGGACGATATATACGATACTTTTAACGAAGCCTGAAAGTGTTTTCTAACATCGTTCGCTCGTTCTTTTCCATTTTTGGATTTTACATCAATACTTTCCACACGCTCGAGCGAGCACGTCTCTATCTATTGACGGCTCTACGGGAACACGTCGGTACGACGGTCGCCTTTTTTAATCTGTTGACCGGGTGATCTTTCGATTCTGAACACTCGCGGCGATGTAATTCAGAAAAGAAAACGATTAACGTAACAAAATCCCAAGAATTATTAACTAAATTTTGAAAAAGATATTGCAACTGAAACACGAGGTCAAATACAAATGGCAAGTTAACTCGTCTCCCCTGGTTATCAGATTAATGATGGTAGTCGACAATCAAAACGCGTGTATGTATTTATTAGTGAATTTCTTTTAAGGACTACTTTGCAGGTAGTGTCGGTACCGACTCAGCATTTCCTTTATTAAAGCAATTAACGCATTTTACAATTTTTATACGAGAATACAATGGTTTCTATGCGTTCAGCGATTGGCAAATGGGGGAACTATTTTTTGCCTGCTTCTAAGTGAATCGTACACGATCAGTTGCACGCAGTTTAAATTCTGTTACAAGTAAATATTGCTTAAATAATTCCATTGTATTATTCTTCGTTAAATTAATAATTTTTGTTGCATTATGCATTTTCAACATATTTGCTTCTATGATTGAAATTGTATATTTAATGTGTATTTATCCGGATGTTCGCGAAAATATGAAGTTGTATGTGATAGGAATGTAAGTCACTCTATACCACCCAAAGTTACATTACACTGATTTCATAGTCTGCATCCACTGCTTCTATAGTGATATTGTTGTATTTAAATGACATATCCTTCGAATCTACAAATTGATGAACTCTTAAATATTTTGTTTTTATTTGCTAAACGATCAAAATGTTTGTTTCTGTTTTTCTTTTTATTATTATTACTACCTATACAAAGGAATAGATCGATATTTTCTTACATAATGTTTACGTACATAATGTGATGCACGGGCTTCATTTTTACGCGAACAATGGAACACTGTTTAGTTTTTAGTGTTGGTGTAAGTGCAGAGCAAATTCAAAGGACATTTACGAATGAATATTATATATTTTAGTAGATTATATTATTATTATTATTATTATTAATATTATTATTATTATACAAATAAATGTAAAAATTTTTAATTTTTCTGATTAAATATTTAATTTGAAGTTCCCTTGTATAAATCTTTCCTCTGTGTTGAATTCAAGTTCGAATTTTTGAGATAAATACATATGAAGGAAAGTAATGATTACTATTTTTTGTCTAT